AGTGTCCTGATTGGCCCTGCTTCCCTGTCTATCCCAGCCAGTTGAGTCCAGAACGAAAGTCACAGCCTCTGAGATATGAATCATTATATTTCAAACACACTCTGTTTATATTATTAACCAAGCAGACCACATCGTACTATAAAAATAGAAAACAACATTTACACAATATTAAACAAGTGAAGTAAATATCGACCAATAGGGGATGTACATTTAGCGTCCAAGGACAACATTAGACTTAACATGATAACTATTGGTATATTTTTCTGCACATTCTAACAGATTATCATTATTTAAGTAATATTCGTTATTTAGATAATGTTAAAAAGTGATCATGAGTTTCTGTTTTGATTGAGATCACGAATCGACCAGTGTTGAACCACTACTGAAAATGTGGAAGCACTGGACGATTATTTCGTTTTAGTATAGGAATGCTCAGCAGTGCGCATCAAGTGGTCTAGAGGTTAAGTGTTCGCTCACGAAACCGAAGGTCCTGGGTTCGAATCCTGTGTGCAGTACCGTGGATAAACACTTCGTTCAGTGCTGCCAGATTTTCAGTGGTGGTCTGACATTGATCCATTCATGATCTTAATTGAATCTCAACATTCTTCACAACCCTATACTGATACTTTTTGTTTTATTGATCACTAGTCAATAATCGTTCTTTCTTTTGAGTAATAGGTGATTGCTAGTAATTATATCAGATTATATCTTGATTGTAACAGAATTCATTTATTATATTCTGTGTTCTTGTATTTATCAGTTAATAAGAGATTTCTAATAATTTCTGATAGTTTAAACTTTTGCAATTTCTTTTCAATGAATTCCACATTTTAATCTTTTCAACTAACCTGTATTTTATCGTTGAATTCATGAATCATTTGAAACCGGACCTCCCTGGAAAACCTGGAAGTACTGGACGGCCGTTTCACCATATTGTGGGACTCCTCAGCAGTGCGCATCCACGATCCCGCCTCGCAAGGTTCGAACCCAGAACCTATCAGTCTCGCAAATTTCACGAGAATTTCATGGTGTATTAAATTTTTGTTATTTCAACCATCGTAACAATGTTGGACGGTGGCGCAATTTCGTGGATCAATTGAAGTTAGACATTAACACCGTTAAATGCCGGCTTGCTAGTCTAAAGGTTAAGCGTTCGCGTGTGAAACCGATAGATCCGGTGTTCGAATCTCACATGGCGGGGTCGTGGATATGCATTATTAAGGAGTCCCATACTAAGATTAGACGGACGTCCAGTACTTCCAGGTTTTCTATGGTGGTCTAGCTTCAATTGATTCATGAATTTAACTATAAAACTACTAAAATCTCTACAAACCCCCATCGGATAATAATCTATATGCCTTTTTTGTTTTTATTCAATTTATTATTGTCTTTGTTACAATTATTAAATTTTTCTTTGTCTCATTAAAAACTGTTCTAAAGCAGATTTTAAAAAAAAGTAATTCAATCAATTCTTTACCATATTTTACAATGTTTATATGAAAAAAGAGAGATTAATACATTGGTCAACTAAAATGGATTGTTATAATAGAGGTCTAGTTACTTGTTTAATAAAAATTGATTAATTTTCTTAGAATAATGAAATACATTCATTTGAGACAATAAATAAAGTATCATATAATCAATTCATGGTGGTTGCAAAAAAAAACATAAACATTCTTCAGTTGATTAAAAGAAAGAAAGAATGAAAGAAGGGAACTTGGAAAGAACAACTTAATTCAATTTATTCCTTGGCAAAAAATACAAAAAAATTTCCAAGGATTAATAATATGAAAATTACAAAAAAATAATAATAATCATGAAGTGATTGAATTAATTGTGACAGCAATAATAATAATAATGATATGATGTGTGAAAATTATATTTGAAATAATCTCAGCGGTTGAATTTTGAAATAATTCCAACGTTTCGTCCAGCTAACTTGTTTGAACTTCTTCAGGGTAATAATCAACATCAAAATCATCAAAGAAATGTATAGCTTTTTAACAATCATAATGATACTGTGTTACACCAATCAAATTTGGATGTTGAGTTTTGTAAAATAGGATCAGATGAGTCAGTTAACTACAATTCATGTGAAAAATTCAACTATATATATTTCTATATATTTCTTTGATGATTTTGATGTTGATTATTACTCTGAAGAAGTTCAAACAAGTTAGCTGGACGAAACATTGAAGTTATTTTAAATTTCAATCGCTGAGATTATTTCAAATATAATTTTCACATATAATGACTCCTCTTTACTCAGTGCCCAATTTCTGTCAAACTATTCGTTCTAATCTTGACGAATATTCAGATTAGATGGTGGTTGGAGGCGGTCGACAGGAAACCCTGGACACGGGTTTCGTGCTACTTGGCACTCGTCAGCAAGGTGTACCTGTAGTCCCTGGTGGATTCGATCTGCACTAATAAGAACTAGACATGCATGACATTGATCGCCACCCAGTGACGAATATTCGTATGAATAATAATAATAATAATAATAATAATAATAATAATAATAATGGTAATTATAAGAAACGAAAGTGATTTTAGAAAATTGATTGGTGGTTAAACAATTTACTTAGTCGTTATATAAATAATAAATCCGAAGTAAAAACAAATTGACTAAATTTAACAATGAAGATACAATAGACAAAGATAGATGTTCTATCATATTTAGAAATTTGTATTGTTTTAAAACGAGAAAAAATATTGCCTGTATGAAAATTAATTAACATTGGAAAGAACTTAAATGTAATATACTTTATCTTTTACAAAATTGAATGCTAAATAGTTTAATTTGAGAGATAAATATCATTTACATTTAACTTGTATTCATTTTAAAGGGAAATTGTCAAGATGATATTAAGGCAGATTAAATATATTCTAACAGTTATTTCTGTCTGCATATTTAGATGAATAGATTTAGGCTCTCAGTAAATAAATTGTATTGGGTTATGTTTGAAAATGTGATTTCTGTGGGAATTCGATGTTTGATTTTAAAACTCTGTCCTATGTTAATAAATAATTGTTCATTACCGTTCTCTCTATGGATTTTGGTATTGATATTTTATTTACGACTCCGCCTGTAGCTCTTCTAGAGTTACTTCCGGTCCTAAGTTCGGGTAAAGAAGGAGGGTTAGGCATGGGGTTAGTGACCCCATCCCATAGAAAACTAACTCACTAAAAAACGCTAACCAGAAATATTTTATTTACGCTCTAGAAATCAGGTTACTAAAGATAAAACTTTGCTTAACGTAAAATTTCTAATATGCTTTATTGAAAAATTAAGATATCAGTGTTCATAAGTTAGTTGCTGATAACATATTGTATTGTGAATATATTATTTCCGTTTTTACTGAGATTCCTCTCATGAACTTGCAAACTACAGTGATGATATTTATTTTTGCTTCAATAGTTAATCACTAAACGTTTTATATTTCCATGATAATACCATATTGTTTTCCAGTTTAAAATCATTTCTATAAGCTGGGACTTATTTTTGTCAAGATTTCACTGGTAAATTGTGCAATAAAGCTGAGGGTCAGATAACTATAGGGAAAGGATATTTACGCACATGGTTTCGTGGTCTAATTTTACTAACAAATATCTGAATAAATTTATTATGTATTGTTTGTTTGAATCTTCTCATTAATGTTTGGCACTTCAATTGATCAATCTCATATGTACATCCTGTATGGATTACCTCAATATTGCCTTAAGACACAAGTATTAAAAGCAGAGATAGATGGTGGCTGGCAATGGAATCCAAGACTTATGTTTCGTTTTATTTGGAATTTTTCAGCTGGATGTACCTACAATCCACACAGGATGCACATATGTCAATGAGAGACTGATCAATTGCAGTCCTAAACAACAATGAAAAGATTCAAACAAACAATACCAAGTGAATTTGAACTTCATCCTATTACACAAGCAAGTGGCTATCAGGACTCATCACCCAGTGGTTAATATAATGCTGTTTGAAGCGAGCGGTACTGGATTCGAGTATCGGAATGAACATCCACCTGATGAGTCCCGAATAGGACGAAATGTGCACCCTGGTTTTCAATGCTACCCATCGTCTATCTCTGCTGATAAATATTTGCACAGTTGTGATTGTTTGCTTGTATCTTCTCATAAGGCAAAACGCGCGTCCTGGATTACACTGCTAGCCACATTCCACCTTTCCTTATATTGATAAGTAAGCTAAATTTTATACAGCTCATTTTTATGAAATGTACAACTGTATTTACACACAATTGGTTTTTATATATACTACCAGAATATGTCTATACATTATAACGTTATATTTTTTACAGTCTATTAAATCGTAATAGTTAAAAAAAACGGTTAGTGGTCATAGATTTACTGTTCAATGATCTAAATTTAATGTGTTCGATATATATTCTGAATATTTCAGGTTTTATCAGATATTGGGTCGTAGTTGTACATTGCTGAGAAATCCTATTAGAGCGCGAAATCATCACTGAATGCTCCATGCTTTTCAGTAGCTATCTAACCAGCGTCTTCATAAACTTGGGGGGGGGAGAAGTTCGTACTGATAAATCTATATAAACCTTTTATCTCAATAAAGTCATCACAGTTATGTCAAACATTTAACTATTAGATCTCTTGATAAGTGAAAATAATTGAATGTAGATCCATGAACAAGTGTTATATGTTTACGTCAAGGATAAAATATTTTATCAGATGAAAGTTGACAATTATATGTAATTGTTTTATGACCTGGTCCAAATTAATTTAATTAATAACACATTTATATATGGCTACAAACATATATGCATATCAGTTAAAACTAGTTACCAATCGTTTTTAAGGAAAGTGTTTTTCTCAACAAACAGTTACTATTCTCCATTTATTTTATTTGTTACTGTTAAAGTCTCAGAATTCAAATTGACCAATCATAAAATTTAAAAATTTATTTTGGTTGTACAATATTCATTTATCAATTGGTAAATGCTGGTTTTAATCTTAATTTCATAATTAAGTAAAGAAGAGGACACAACTTATTGTAATTTAATACAAATGAATTACTATATTATCATTAACGACTATCTTATTAAAATGGTATAAAGAACAAAACTTGTCATTATATATGGTGACCTGTCGCTGTTAAACTCTCATGTTAGTACTTTGTTCGACTGATTTGAACAGGAAAATAATAATTGTTCTCGTGACGATGCACCAAATCAAAACAAGATATACAGGAAATGTCAACTTTTAGTATACCATATGGTAACATCAAGCTACTATTGATGGTAGATATGATATTTATCTGTATCAGTTAAAATGAATTCAGAACTACAGCCAATTATCATGAATTCTCATTTAGATTCAAATTATGCAACTGGCACACCTACTAACTTATCATCAACCAATCAAGCTGAAATCAGTCTCGAATCAAATAATAACTCTAATTCATACATAGGATTACTAAGGAATTCGTCATTTATTAATAAAAGTTTAAGTCTTGTTGAAAAATTTAAAATGGGATCAATGTTGTCTGAACTGAATACAACAAATAAATCTTCGGTAAGCGAAGAACATGGACGAAAATTTCAACAACCATCACAAGAGCTAGAACAAATCACTAGACACTCAATACTTTCACAGAGTGTTGATTTACAGACAGGAATACATGATATATCGTTTGTGGATAATCCAACTTCAAAACAAGCTGATTCTTCATTAAAACATGAAAATAATATGAAGAATAAGAAATTATTTCTTTCAAATGAATCAATCAAGGATATGGAGATAACACGATCAACGGTTAAAAAACGTTCACCATCAAAAACAATTGAAAAACTACAATCAGGTGATAAAATAAACTCGATGTCTCATTCAAAAACTGTGCATGGTTATAGAGATATAGCATACATTAGCCTTGAAGCTGCACCAAAATCAAATATTTTGTCGACGTCTATCGATGATTCATCACCGATAACTATAAAACCATCTACCAGGAATAGGTCAGGGGTTACTAACTTAAGTCATTGTCATTATGATAACTATCCAATACTTAGTGATAATGACCACCAGTTTGGACGCGTTCATAATGATCTTATGGAAAGCAGCAAACAACATCAATACAGTACTTCAAATGATCGTATTGATTTCAAAATACCTACCGTAAGAAATGTTGTTTTAGCTACTCCTTCTAATGAAACATATCATAATCAGCAGAACACTCCATATTCTAAGTGTTGGAATAATGCTGTTGAATTTAATAACTTATCAAGGTCTTGTAATTCTGTATATTATCACTCACCAAGACAAGGAAACTCCTGTAAGACGGCAGACACAGAAAGAAGTAATAGATTACTTGATGAGTTACACAGACTATATATTCAGCTGAAAGAGGCAGAGAATGAAATTTCTGAACGAGACTCTTATATACGTTATTTGCAGAGTATTATATTTAGACGTGATCAGCTGATTCAACAGCTTATAAAACAAGTTCCTGAATCATATATTCCGGAAGAATACTATGAATCGATCAATGAGTTGGAAGGACATAGAAAATCTGTTCTTACTGATTTTCAAAAATCAAAACAAATACAAATGTATCATAAAGGTGTAAAACCTTATGATAAATCAAATGTACCTAATATTAATGTGTCAAAAAGGTGGAATTCGGAACAGTTAGCCCGTTATAAAAATAACAGAAATTCATATCTTAAAGCTAATGTTTCTGGACTTGTTGAACAGCATGAAACTTATTCGAGAGATATTAATAAAACAAATGACGTGAAAATAATAACACCTACTCCGGTTAACACTACTAACAACAGTCCAATTATAAGTAGTAATTCTCACAATAAATGTGATCTACCATTTAGTAAATTGCAGTATTCTAAATCAGGTACACTTATTAATTTGAATAATACCAATGAATATAATGTTGGAAACGTTACTAACAGTAATGTAACAGATGGAATGAAAACAAATGATAACAAGACATCAGGGATTGGAATGAATTTACAAATTATATCTAAATCACGTGTTAAACGTAATGCTATATCTGGAGAATCAGAGAAATATCTTCCACCTCCAGCAAGTCACTTATCGAATTGGCCTAAAATTGAGAAGCCAGCACAGTAAGTATTATGTTTATAAATGTCATATATATTATACTGAGTTATTGTTTTCTAACAGATATTGTGTAAACTTAATTCAGTATGAATTGAAATAAGTAGGAAAATAATATACCAAAGGAACCTATTGTAAACTATTACTAAATCGTTGTTTCATGGGATGACATACCAGGAACGTATTTATGCTGAAATACGAGAACTAACCAGACACATTATAAACAGAGATGGATGATAGCTGGTGGTAAAATCCAGGATGCGCATTTCGTCCTATTCGAGATTCGTCAGGTGAATGTCACTGCGTCTTCAAGTTAATGCTCACCCCGGTATTCGAACCCTGTATTCTCCACTTCAAACGCCATCGCGTTATCCACTTAGCTACTGAGTCCTGATAGCCACTTGCTTGTGTAATGGGGTGAAGTTTAAATTCATTTTGTACATCCAGCTGACGAATCCCGAATAGGACGAAACATGAGTCCTGGATTCCATTAATAGCCACCATCTAGCTCTGTCTTTAGTGCTTGTGACTTAAGGCAATATCAAGGTAATCTATACAGGATGCACATATGCCAGTAACAGACTGATCAATTGCAGTTCTAAATATTAATGGGAAGATTTATGTGAACAATACCAAGTGCATTTAAACAGATATAGTTAAAGTTTGACAGCTTTGATAAGTTTTTTCATTATTACTTTGCAGCTTCATTACGCTATCGATAAATAACTACTGTTATTTCGGGATAATGTGAGGTATTCTTATAACACTTATCTCCCAAATAATCCTTAGGAGCTCTGAATGTGAACAAAAACAATTATCTTTTATGTACTTTATAATCGCATGAAGTATAACGATATTGGAGCCTAGGTTCTTATTGGTAATGTACAATTTTATGAATCATGTTCTGCGAAAACCTGGTCGCAAACCTAGTATAAGATTTAAATGCCCCCAGTTAGATTTATTGTTCACGTAACAATGTTAGAAGTTTTTAAAATACTGTACAAATACAAAGCATCCGTTGTCTGAAATGAATAGAAAATAGACGTGCATATATAATTACTGAAATAAAAAGGTATTAGTATACCAAACTGTTATGTAATCTGTAAGCTTATATTATGATAAAAGAGTAAATTAGTTGTAGGTATGAAAAGAGAACACTGTTTTAATTGGATAAAATTGTCAACAAAGTATAAAGATAATGTAATCACAACTGATATTACAAGCTTTTAAAAACAATTCAGATGTTATAATTATTATCTAATCACTTTTTTGTGTCTACTTAAAAGTCGGCAAGAATAAAAATACACATTAGTTTATATTGTTTTGTTGTTTTTTCCACTGCCTGCTTTATATTGTAGCAATATTCAGGACAATTGATCTTGCTCATTTTATTTTTGTTATGTGTAATGTCATCATTCAAAACTAATATTTATATAAAAAGATTAACAGAGTAATGATATATTTCACTCCAATAAGTTTTTCATCATCATTCATATATATGCATGACAAACAAAGCCATAATAATACTGGTTTCAATTTGTGATAGTTGTAAATTCAACTGAATCTATGGAGTCAGGAATATAGAGCATACAATTCGAAAGTTCATCATATTATAACAGAATACCATTCGGCATCATCGAGCTAACAAGAATTGTGGTTGATCAAGAGTTCTATTCTCTTTGATTAACATAGGGAATCACACTGACTGGAATAAAATTTCTAAAGTTATTCCCTACATCCTATCAAAAATGTCACATGATTTATTGTTTGTTTCTGCGCACTACTGAAACTGTCAAAATCCACATTCATAAACCAATTCGTTGTAATGTAAGAGAAGTTTTTATAGTCACCCTACTTATAGCTTGATCATCGATATGACTTACACCAAATTGTGTCATCAGAAAACTTTGATTCATTTAACCTTATCGTATTGTTTCTAATTTCTTTAACTTTATGTTCTCAAAAGTTCCTAATATTTACCTCTATATTCCTACATAAGTCTCACTGGACTGACTTTAATCAAAATATTTTGTTAACTCTTGTTATGTTTTATGGAATATATAAAGCTCTAACCTAAATATCTTTAAAATTTCTACATATACTTACTTTACTAGTAAGAATTACCTTATCGTCTCTGTTTTAGTCACTTGGCTAATCATTGGACATCATTTTCATTAACAACTGTATAATTATTATATTATGTAAACTACTATCTGATTAGTATTATTTTATTATATATATACAGAAACATGATGATAAACTAATTGAAAAGAGATATTTCAGCACTGCAGGTCGTTTCTTAATAGATGAAAATCTGTATATACTGAAAAAAGTATGAGACGATAAAACTAGTACAGAACATGAAAAATGAAGTTTTTGATTGAGATCATGAACCGATTGATGTTAGACCACTATTGAATACTTGGAAGCACTAGACGGTCGTTTTGTCATATTGTGCGCATCCACGATTCCGCTCGTGGGATCCAAACCCAGGGCCTTCAGTCTTGCGCGCGAACGCTTATCCTACTGGACCACTGAACCGGCATCCAATGGTGTTAATGTCTAACCTCAACCACGACGTTGCTGGGGAGTCCCACAATAGGATGAAACGGCCATCCAGTGCTTCCGGGTATTCAGTGGTGGTCTAACATTAATCGGTTCATGATCTCAATCAAAAACCTAACAATCTTCACAACCCCTAAACTGATAAAAATGAAGTTGTAGCTATGAACAGACCTGAAGGTGTTTACTCATATTGCCGAATTGTTTGGTATCATTCACTAGATCAAGCTGAATGGGATTTTCGAGTGATAAGTTTAGATGTTACATTCAAAGAGCGGGGATGATCTTCGAAATTTAAGCTATTTTATCTATTACTTCAGTATTTTTATCAAGATCACAAAATGTGATCATTAGTAAGAACTGTTGAGAAACTTGAGAAGATAACAAAATGTTATTTGCATAAATTCGAGTTTAACGTAAATATTTGGGTATAGTACGCAGTTAATGAAAAACCTTAACATATAAAATTTTGAGACATGATAATCAATAAGTATAAGACATAACTTTCAAATTTTCAAAACCCATAGTCTAATGAAAAATTGATCCAGATAGTCAAAGTCTCAAATTTTATTCAACTATCCATTAAAAGTGCGACGGAAGAGAAGATTTACTTATTTTAAAAACGACCACAGATATAAATTTGAATCTCTATGACTATTGATTTGGTGTTGTTTTACTTGTATTTTCCGATTGTTATTTAGGACTTCAATTGATCAGTTTCCTGTTGGCATATGTGCATCCTGTGCGGATTGCCACAATACAGTCTTAAGTAACGAGCTGTTTAAGCAAAGATGGATAATGGCTAGCAGTGGAATCCAGGACGCGGCTCCCAAATAGAACGAAGCGTGAGTCCTGAATTCCACTGCTAGCCACTAACCATCTTTGCTTAAAATCTCTTGATTTGGCTATTGAATTCTAAAAGATTTATTGAAACAATATTTTTGAATTACTTTTGTTAACAAAGAAAACTTATTAGGAATTTTTCTTAAAAAATAGTCTATGATTAAAGAAATGGACATGTAATCACCAACTGGCGTTTACTTTCAATGTTACATGTATTTCAAAGCACAACAGTTTTGTTCTTTTTCTTTTAAAGATATTAGTTATTTATTGAATCATTTAAAAATGGAAGTACTAGTATTGTTTACTGAAGTTTAATATAAATCTAATTGTAATTTATTACAAGATTTGTTATTGTATTTTATAGAATCGATAAGAAAACGGTATTTTATTTGTCAAAACAACTAATAATTCTGGAATTGTATACCATAGTTCTTTGTTGTTTTTTGATACCTGACAAAACTTCTTACCTCTTTGCCTTTAGTTTGTTTACAATGGCTCGCTAGTTACTTTTAACAGATTATTAAAGAAGAGGTTTTGTGGAGATTTTAATAATTTCAATAGTTGAAATCATGAGTCAGTTGAAGCTAGACCATCATGGAAAACCTAAAGGTACTGAATAGCCGTTTTGTCTTATTGTGCGCATCTACGACCTCGCCTCGTGGGCTTCAAACCCAGGAAGTAACAGTATCGCGCTCGAGCGCTTAACCACCAGACCACTGAGCTAGCCGGCATCAAGCAGTTTTAATGTCTAACTTCAACCAATCCAAGAACTTGAGCGGGATATTCTTGCTCGTTGGTTTAGAGGCTAAGCATTCACATGCGAGACCGATAAGTCCTGGGTTCGAATCTCACCGGGGGGCGGAATCGTGAATGTTGAAAATTAACAATAATTATTGACTTTCGTTTTCTTCATTTTTCTTCCCGTGAAGTAATACAGTTAATCATAATCATTTTTGTATACATAATGTAACCAAGATGTATCGAAATCAACCTATCTCATTTAAAATACTTTATTATTATGTATTTGTTTGTAGTAATGTTATTTTGTACAGAAAATTAATTACAATATAAAAATCAATTTGTATCAGAGCAAAAAACAAGCTGGTTCAAAAATGGGACTGAGGTTTGTTTCAATGGGTTACATGGAGAGAAAGTTTAAGTTTTAGGTTACTGCTTGACTTCAGTAAAATTATTAATGGTCTTTTGAAAAGAGAAGCTTAAGACCTTTATCTTGTAATGATTTTGTATGCGGTGTGTACAATGTGTTCTCCTGGGGATCCGCAACACATTTACTACAGTTCATTCTACTGAAGGCACTGTTTAAACATTTTATTAATCTAATAGTTGAATTCATGGGTTCGAATCCCGCGAGCTGGGTCGTGGATGAGTACTGCTGGGGAGTCCCATACTAGAACGAAACGGCCGTCCAGTGCTTCCAGGTTTTCCATTTTGGTCTAGCTTTAACTGACTCATGATTTCAACTATTGAGATTAATAAAGAACTAATCGTTCTTTTATAACTCACATGAAGAACGATAAATTAAAGTCAGTGAGCTGAGTGAACTTAGTCAGATATACGATCTCCTAGTAAGACAGACTTCATT